CAGAAGCCTGAAAAAGTTTCCAGTAGGCGGAGATAACAGCGCAGGCTCCGACGTCACAAGCCAAAAACTCCGGGTTTCGCTGTCTACACGATAAGACTGCAACCGGAGTTTTTGAAAACTGTTGTTTTCAAAAATGTTCGGTTTCAGTGACCTGGTGCTGCGTTTGCGTGTGGACGAACGGCCAAAACGCATAGAAAAAGCTGCGTTTTTAAAAATAACTGCGTTAGTGTGGACAGGGCCTACGCCTGCCCCAAACGTAAGCCTTGTCCAAATACCCACACTTGCGGTCTTTGCACTCACTGCGCTTCGGCGTTTTTAAGACCTGGGACAGTCTTGCGCACTTACTTCCTGTCGCGCGCACGCGCTCTCAAGTGGCCAAGACCGCAAGTGTGGGTATTTGGACAAGGGGGTACTTGCCTGGAAGTTTCTAGTGATCCTGAAGACCTTGATTAGCTGGTTCAGGTGTGTTTAATTGGGGTTGGAACTAAACTCTGCAGGACTCTGGCCCTCCAGGAGCAGGGTTGGACACCCGTGGTTTAAACCAACTCACTGCATGCATCAAAGACCTGAACTTTTCTCCTAGCTTCTAGTCATGTGGCTAGTCATTTTGTACAGTTCAGCTTGCGCTAAGAGCCTGGTTTGCCTGTGCATTTCAGAAGTGAGCTCATCCATGCTGTCTTGGTTCAAGAAAATGTCCTCTTGCAAATGACATATTGCAAAACTCCTGATCACATCTGGTGCTGTACTCATGCCCTCCCCTTTCATTCTCATTCTATCTCTCTGTCACCCCACCAGACTCGGATATGAATGCAAGGCACCAGAGAGGCAAACAAGAGTGAAGCTCAGTGATTTGCAAGGCAGGGGTGGAATGGGGAGGTTAAACTGGAATGTCATGGAACGTCCTCTGGTTCATGTGTGTGCAAATCTGATGGAATGGAAGTCGGGGATGCATGGGAATATCAAGTGCAGGATATTTTAAAATGTTACCTTAACACTGGCACAGATCTGCTTCATGAGCAGCAACTAATTCCATAAAAGAGTCATTGACTGAATTTGAATCATTTGATGATGTTTTAACAAGGTTACTGAAACAAGATGTTCTTACTTAGTATTTTTGACTTATGGTATTTTTGACTTCTAGTACAAATACATTCTTGAATCAAGATAAATTTACTTGAGAAGCAAAATTACTTTAGATATGAAGTCTTGTTTTCTGAAAAATGTAGCAAAATTTCGTTAGTTTTTGCTTAAAAAAAAGAAAAGAAAATGTATCTTGATTTAAGAATGTTAAGCAAAAACTAATACAATTTGGATACATTTTTCAGAAAACAAAGGCCTGGTTTAACAGACAGGGCTTAGACATGGCTTAGAAAAAAAAGAAAAAAAACCTTGCTGGTGTGCATCTTGAGACAAAACAAGGGCTCTGACATAATTTAAGCTCAGTCAGAGCAAGTTTCTTTCAGTTGAAACAGCATTTTAGTCTGGGATTAGGTTTAAGCCTTGTCTGTGAAACCGGGAAAGACTTAATATCTTAAGTCATTTTGCTTCTCAAGTAAATTGATATTGATTCAAGAACATTTAGATATGTGTACTAGAAAACAAGTTCAAAATACTAAGAAAGTCATTTTTGCAGTGTGTTTTAAATAATCATATTTTCCAATGGCATGTTCTGTATGAATGCAGAGACACTGAAGACACAACACACAGAGTTTTATATTTAACAATATATATTTTCCAATTTCAATGTACATTCCGTTTTGACATAAGCTTTTATTCACAAACAAACGTAGGCATCTAAATAAATACTATATAAAATAGAACTTCAAAATAAATATATCTATAAAGGGACATTTTCATATGTGTGAGAGATTTTTTTTTTCTTTTTGCTTTTTTAAACAAAACAAAAGCACATTGCTCTTTTCTTTAGTCCTCAACATGAACAATGAAGCCAAAGAAACGCAGAGAGTACAAGCCCAGTTTGGAAGGCAGCTTAAAGTAGGTTAAAAAAGAATGGGTTTCTAGTGGCTGAGAAACTGTACCATGAATAGATATAGTCACAGCATCCAGATGAAAACATCTCAGCAATGGGTCAACAGAATGATGATCGTTCAATTCCATGCAGGCCAGATTATTAGGCCAACAATCATACAGTTTACATTTTACAGCTGAATCTTTCTCTGTGGTTGAGACAATTGTGAAATATGCAAAATAAAAGAGAGAAGTCGGGGCGATAAAGCAACACCGATTAGGATGGATTGGAATGTTACTTGAGAGGGATCCCCATTCCTCCCAGACAAGTTCACACACAGCAGCTGTATATGTCAATCAAGCACTGAAGATGTTGCACCATTTTAGGAGGAAAGAGGAAAAACAAAATGCTTGGCCACATTGAGGTGAAAAAGCATTACTTTGAGTGTGACAAAACGCCATTCCTTCTGTGAATTCAATTAAATCTACAGTTTCAAGGGCACTGAGGAACCGGGAATTAGCCTTGCCTCTCTCGTGCTAATGAGGCATGGCTAGCATTAACAGAGGTATTTTTATTGCCTGGCACACTTTTCTAAATCAAGTGCTTGTGATTGAAATACCTAAACACCCTACCTTCTATGCCACAGCCACATAATCTTTGCCCCCACCCGCCCCCAGCACTCCCAAAAATATAATAAATCATTTATATACTTTTGTACTGAATTGTAATTAAACTGTACCATGCAATTTCTCAGGACATTTGAAACATATCTTAAGATAGCTAGTTTTTCTTAAAACTATTTACAAGAACATGTAACCTGCATAGGTCGAAATCTAAGATATCTATGGTACATTTGCAACTCTTCCCTATGCAGCTACGCAAGCTTCTCCATTCAGAACTACTCTGGCACCTATCCACAGGTTAGATTGCAAAAAGACTTAAACCCTAGCCTTATACATTCAAGACTAAGAACAGTAGTGTATCTGTGCAACAAGTACAAATGTTGGAGTATGTGGGACTAAACGAGCGAACCGTGGGTTTGTGTTGAGCAGGCAGACAATATTCCCTCGTGCTCCAAGACCCTAGGAATCCTGGGAAGAAGAGCACCGTACCTTTAAGAGCTTACTTTCGCACTAATTGGCTAGAGTACAACAATGCATGTCCACTTGAAAACAAACAGTTATAAAAATGGTCAACGAAAACTCCATGGTGCACTCCTTTGGCAAAATCTCTATACTATACATATAACAAAATATATATGTGGAGAAAGCAGTTCGATACTAGGGCACGTCCATAGAGCGTTATGTTTGGTGCGTAGTAAACTAGAGGAATTTTTCCAACTACAGTGAAACACTTTGTACATGCTACTGTACATAATACTGTGCTTTTGCCTCATTATAATGGCGATACGATTGGCATGTTTTGTTTAGAAGCGGCAGAGTAGTATACGCTAACTTTATAGCTTCTCCTTTTCCTGTAACTACTGGCCATGAATGCTTGATGTCTGAATTGCTGTTTTGACCACTGCCCATTCCCTTAATTTTAGTCACCAAACTAGTTCCAAGCTGAATTCACATGCTGTACGTAATTCAGATGAACTGATGATCCCTGAGGTCATTGTCTACAACAAATTGAACCACTAGCATTTGGAAGAATCATTATGGAAGTTCATGTATGCTATGGCATGTTTTCAAAGGGAATTACGAAAGCTATTTTACCCATTTGCCATCAAAAACAAACAATCTGTCCCCACAGAAGATAGAAAACATCCTGTCACATGGTTACGGGTGGTCACCAATGTCTTTCGCAACGGTACACATTGCAATTAGGGACGTCAAGGGAACTTAGAATCCTTCAATGAAACGGAATTACCTCCTGTGGTTTGCATTTCAAACAACAGAAGAAATAAAGCTCTATAACAAGCTTGTAAATGTACTGTGCACAGAGATGAAGTCTGGTTATTTTGATTGTGACATGTGTTATCAGCTTGGAATTCGCTGCAACCTTTCCGCAGTGCCAGATCCGGAGAGGGATTGCCAAAGTATAGAGTGTTCTTGAATGCGTGATATTTACTTTGACTTTTCAAAGCCACCCAAAGAGAAAATAAACATCAGAGAAGAGATTGGAATCTTTCAAACAGACATTTTGCTAAAATGCAGCATTCTGTGTCAGCAAGTTGTTTTACTAGGGGGGGAAATTCATGTATGCTATGGCATGTTTTCAAAGGGAATTACGAAAGCTATTTTACCCATTTGCCATCAAAAACAAACAATCTGTCCCCACAGAAGATAGAAAACATCCTGTCACATGGTTACGGGTGGTCACCAATGTCTTTCGCAACGGTACACATTGCAATTAGGGACGTCAAGGGAACTTAGAATCCTTCAATGAAACGGAATTACCTCCTGTGGTTTGCATTTCAAACAACAGAAGAAATAAAGCTCTATAACAAGCTTGTAAATGTACTGTGCACAGAGATGAAGTCTGGTTATTTTGATTGTGACATGTGTTATCAGCTTGGAATTCGCTGCAACCTTTCCTCGGTGCCAGATCCGGAGAGGGATTGCCAAAGTATAGAGTGTTCTTGAATGGGTGATATTTACTTTGACTTTTCAAAGCCACCCAAAGAGAAAATAAACATCAGAGAATAGATTGGAATCTTTCAAACAGACATTTTGCTAAAATGCAGCATTCTGTGTCAGCCAGTTGTTTTACTAGGGGGGGAAATGGCAAAGACTTTGATCCCACGGCCATCACGAGAACCCCAGGAGAAGAAAATGCAGGCCTCTCCTTTGCTGTAGTACTTTATGAACAAGTAAAATAATGAGTTGTGCCCGTTGGTCAGTCAAACGTTGCTACTGATCTACGGCAGGATACCTTGAGCGTGAGGATCGTGCGTGAACCTCGAGTACCATGACTTTGGGAAGTACAACACTACTGGAGAGAGTCCTGCAAACTTTGCTCACGAGTCTCTTTGTACTCTCCATTTCTGGCACACCATCATGAGGCCTGTTTTTCCAGCTGACAGGCCTTGACCTCTGCCACCTTGCAAGCCTGGGTGCTTTTGCAGCGGCAGCCTGGGCGGCTGATGCCGTCGTAGCACTTCTGCGAAAGCTTGGCACAACCAGTGGCAGGCAAATAACACACCAGGCAGGGCAGCACCAATGAAGCGGCTGCCATGAAGGACCAGCGTGCGCAACAGTTCGAGTGCGAGCAGGAGCATGGCTTGTCAGCGCAGGAACCTTCCTCATCCTCATCAGTGCAGTGGTAGAAGACTCCCTTGACTAGACACATGCAAGTGACAGAGTCCACTAGGTTCTGCGCTGAGCACAGGCACTCTTGGTTGCAAACCCAACAAGAGGGCAGGGCCCGGGGCAACGTGCACTCTGTGCATCGGCATTTGCCACACTTCTCGCACAATGGCACGTGCTTCTTCTCCAATGGCAAGGCCGCCACAGCCTTCACATTCTGAGTCTTGGAGCTCAGCGCCTTGGGTTGCTCTGCACCTAGGGTCCTGCCATGGCCATTGCCAGTAGTGTACGGATCCACAACAGGGGTGGGAGCTGCGTGGTCCAGCAGCCGTTGGTCGGAGGAGGTGCTGCTGCTGCTGCTGATGGAGCTGGGCCGACCACTGAATGAAATCCAAGGATGTGTGGTGGCATCTGGGACCTCGCAGCGGGACAGATGAGGATGGTGCGGGGCTCCCAGCAGGACTTCCTGCCCCCTCGTGCCTGCCTTGTGGCTTGCTGGCTGTTGTGAGATCACAGCAGGGGTGTCGCTGTAGTCATTCTCCAAATGTAAAGATTTCATTTGGTCAATGGGGTATATAGTTAATGGGTGCTGGAGCCATCCATAGGGAATGCGGCTGTCCAGCAAAGGCTGCACCATGATGGAGGAGGAGACTCCAGGAATGTGGTGAGGAACCCTTGACTCCATCTGTAGATTGTGTTCCTCATATACCAGAGCTCAGGTCAGCATTTAGCACTCCTGCAAAGACAACAGCACAACTTAGTACTGATAACCACCCTCACAGAATCCTAAGCAGATAACCCAGAGATTGGTTTGTGTGAAAAAGACCACAAATACATCTAAAATGAAGCGGACCCTTTGCATAAGAGAGAAAATTACATGTGTAATATTATTAGGGGTATATAATTAAAATTCATTATTTGGAGTTTAAAAAGGAACGTGTATAAACTTTCAACTCAACATTCAGATTTATAAGCATTGCCTACACGCCTGCACTAGTGTTCTGAAGGGAGGGGTTTATTCTGAATAAAACAAACATAAATAAGATTACGTTAGATTCACAACTTTTTGTTAAACGATTAAGTTTCAATTCACTACAAATTGATGAAGTTGAATTGGGCATATTATGATTAACTGGACGCTATTAATCGAGTTTTATGGGTACACTCTAAAAAATGCTGGGTTAAATACAACCCAGTGCTGGGTTGTATTTAACCCAGCATTTTTTAGAGTGTAAGACCTGTTTTACCCAGCACTGGGTTGTATTTAACCCAGCATTTTTTAGAGTGTAAGATCCTCTCTTCAAAGCAGCTGCACGTTTGAAATATCGTTGAAAATAGTCAAGGAAAATGTTACACAGCTACAGAGCACTGAAGAAAGCTGTACAATACGACAAAATCAACCTGTTGCTGGATTTTTTTTTTTTTTTTTTTACCCAGCACTGGGTTGTATTTAACCCAGCATTTTTTAGAGTGTAAGATCCTCTCTTCAAAGCAGCTGCACGTTTGAAATATCGTTGAAAATAGTCAAGGAAAATGTTACACAGCTACAGAGCACTGAAGAAAGCTGTACAATACGACAAAATCAACCTTTTTCTGGATTTTTTTTTTTTTTTTTTTTTTTTTCGTGAGCAATGTAATATATTGGAGTGGCGTGGTTGCGAAGGGCTTCTGTGCTTCTCTTGTAAGCAAGCCTGCAGCCTCTAAAGCAGTGTCGTCTGAAACGACAATTTATGCTGGCATGCCACAATTAGAGTTTCATACAAAGCAGTAAAAATTCAAACGACTTTTTCAATACGAACCATTACCAGGATCTAAAAACACCCAGAACCTAGATACAGCAATGTCGACTGTCTCTGACTAATCTCCATTTAGCGTTTTACTCACTAAAACAGTTTTAATGCTTAAGATGACATGTCAAGCGAATGCGCGATCTGCAGTGAAGCGTCACGCGATGGGAGGCTATTATAGAACGCGAGCAAACGGCGCAGGATCATGATACGCAACACGAAACACTGTCGTTTCCCCGATCGGATGAAAAGACGCGTATACGGAGTTCTCACCTGTTCTACATTTGATTCTTAAATCGCCCACGATCCTGTCGTGGTTAGTTACCGTAGTTAAATATTGACACAAGGCACAAATACACCTACAATGCGTTGCTAAAGAACGGCTGGATCGGCGCTTTGTTATAAACCAGCAGAATGGAGCCGACTCGATTTGAACCAAGAATATAAACTCCATGTTATAGCGTCGTCTTTGACACTTGTATTACATTTTTAAAAAAAAACACTACTAATATATATATATATATATATATATATATATACGCATATATTTTTAAATAAATTAAAAACTCACTTGCATTAGAAAACAGATAATTTCCTTCTCAGATGAACAGAGTATATATTCCAATACCAGGCAGAGAATAATAGATAGATCCAAACGAAGCCACGAAGCGGAAAAAAAAAATCCGGAGGACTATCCATGCGATGTGCACTGCAGTAAGGACACAGTCTTCTCCATACGATGTTGCAACTACATGAGGGAAATGGCTTTTTATGAATGGGAGGGTAAGAAACGTACTGCGCAGATGCTTTGACAGGTTTTTTTTTCTGTGAATGGGAGGGCATTAAGACTCGGGAGTTACGCTTTTATGAATGGGAGAGCTCCGGATTTTACTGCGCGTGCGCCGTTTCAAGATTTCATGAATGGAAGAATGGGGGGCTTTTCGTCACAAGGGCAAAGCGGATTACATGAAGAAGGCGGCTACTTATAGCTACTGCTGCTGTAATTCATGTGTTCTATACATTACTTTATTCGTGCAAGGTCCTGACCTGTTACGGTATGGAAGCATCCTTACGCCTCTTGAAAGGAAATTTAAGCAACTGCATATTTAATTAACAGTTTGACCATACTGCTGTTGTCATGTGTTATTGTTTGATATGACATATTAAATTGCATGATAGCGTTTTGGGTTGCATCATCATGGGTTAATTTGTAAGCCTCGGGTGGCGTGCACTTTATCCTCATTTTGGGTAATCGGAAAACAGGTCAGGGACGGTCGGGCGTGCTTATAATGGAAGGGGGAAACAGATAGAGAGAGTTTATATTTAAGCAGACCAATTTTGATTTCCCAATCCAGTTTGACTGAGCTCGCGCACTGGAGTAGCAAAAAAACACGTTTTTATGACGCAGCAGCATGAGGTCATGCAGGATCAACAAAAGAACAGGATGTTGTCGATTTGTAACGATCCCACAAGCAGGAAATGTGTGTGAATTTCCTTTATAAAACCCCTCTGTCTACCCTTCCCCCCAAGGATAATTCCCAGCTTGGGGCTTGACTAATGCTGTCAAATGTTAATGGGCAGCCTCTACCTTAGCACACATTTCCATGACAACATCTGCTTTCATATTAAAAATACAATCACATTATTTGATGTGCTAAATTTAGGAGAGAAAGGGTGTCATTATTATTATAGTAATATATAACTTTGTTGTAGGCAATATATAATGTGCTAAAATGTAGTAGGCTATATCTCAGAAAGAAAGAAAAAGCAAACAGCACTTTTAGTATTGATTAGATGGAAACCTGGGGAAAATAAACAGAGCTAAATATAGTACATGCACTCTTTGAACGCAGCGTTTTGAACCACAAACTGAGAATATCAAATGGGGCAATTTAACATCTCCAATACACAATGGGTTTCATACATGGAAATGGTTTCTGCCTAATGTCATATAAATATAATCATGAATCACTGATGAACAGTTTATGTATTTATTTATTTATTTATATTTAATCCCCAGTCTATTCTGCTTTTCTGACTTGAAACTTTATGTTTCAGTATTTTAAGGTTAGATGGTTAACATTAACAATCCTGTTAAATTGGATTGGTAATCTGTAAATCCAAAAATTCAAAATTAACAACCCACTGTACTGCAGTTATTAACTGCATAAAGTTTAATCGCCTAGTGCCTTTCTTCATAAATAACAAATACTTCAAGTATAATTTTTCATGAATGCTCAATCCTTTACTTAAAAATGTGCTGTTGTTTTTAGGCCAGACTAGAGTGGTGACCTGATTTAAAAAGCAGCAGGCTTTTTTTTTTTTTTTTTGCCAATTGGGGGTCCCCTCAGATTCAAGCCAAGGCCACAGGAAGGAGCTTGTGTGAGGGATATATGCAGAGAATCCAAGCCTTTGGAGATCTGGGCCTGTGTGGGAAGAAGGGGTAGGCCCCTTCTGGTCCCCTGCTGATACAGAGGGGAAAGCCGAGCTCTTGGTGAGATGGTGACCCTCGACCCTTCTTCAGAGAACTGACAGGAACACAAAGACCCCCCCCCCCATCACAAAGTTCCCATTTCTCACCATCAGTGCTAGACACCATAACCTAAATTTCCACACATACAGAAATGTAAGATAATGTCATTCGGTACTGTTGAGTGGCAAAGTAGGAGGTCAACCTTCATGCTGTCCTCAGCGCTCCTTGTTGACATGAGAATGCCTGACTTTCATTAGTAGTGCATCATAGAGTCACTAACAGTGGGGAGCTATATTTGAAACCTGAATCAGCAATGCTGGCCCAAGCAAAGCACAGTGGATCAGCATTATCCATCCCAAGGAGGCCTTTGTTGACAAGCTATCGGCTAAAATAAGCTCCAGCCGGGAGGAGGCACACATCCCCATCAGCAGCCCACTTCCTGTGAGACAGCAATTTTCTGAATGATGAAGGAGAAGCTTGCACACATCCCCGGACATTACTCTAGTTATTTATTTGTTCAGCTTTAATGATTAATGAGCAGGAGGGCTTTGAGTGTCAGTCAGTGAAATAAGATTAGGAAGTTAAGATATGAATGAAGTGCTAACCTCCAGTGATATCTGCATCATTTGCGTCCACTTAGGAAGTGGTTACATTTTTTGTAGCGTACTGACCTGAAATCCTTGATTTGTACAGGGGTTTAGCTGCTTCTCTGCAGTTTTCATTTTGTTAATTAGCCCTATTGTCTGCATATCAATCAGATTAGGTCTGGGGGATCTAGGAGGAGGGTGCTGAGTAGAGCAAGTTTACCCAGGAGGAAGTAGCAGGCTTTGATCTCTGATAGTGAGCTGCCAATACCGCCCTCGAGGGCTACTTCCTGGGGCCAGCTGGAAGCCTGCAAGTTAGGCCACCTGAAACAACATGTACTCTTTCCCTTTCCAAGTGCCCTCACCCCGCCTGCCCTTCCCCCATTTTTCATCAATGGTAACCCTTACCCCAATTGAACTCTGTGAAAATTGGAGATAGAGGTGGGCTACAGTCACCCAGGGTTCTATTGTCCCTAGTGTATTCATTCACTCTCTAGGCAGACTAGTGGCCTGATGGATGTTCTTGGGGACACCTAGCTTTATTTAAATCAACTTTTCCTTTTGGGAAGCGTTTGGTGAATGATGGATGTGACATTCAGTTTGCTCTGTCACTTTCCTCAAGCCCAGTCAGATTTTTTTAAACTTTGAAATGTTCATAATCTGCACTTTGAATTATGAAACCCTTGGACACAAAACTTCCTAATTTCAAAACCAGACATCTCCAGTTTTTGTACACAGTTTGTCCATTACACAAATTCACAAATAGAGGATGTAAGTTTGATGTACAATCTATTTTAAGATATTTCACAATAACGCATCATGTACAACGTTGGGTCACAATCGTGATCATTTTTGAAAAGCTGTGCCTGGAATGTCCAAACAGGAGTTCATGATTCACTTCAGAACGTCCCTTAATCCTCACCACTTCCAGTAAACCTCTCACTGCTGGGTATCCTCTCACTCCTTTGTGACCGTGGGAGAGGGTTGAAACAGAAAGCTCAGCCAATCCTCAGAAGCTCTGTTTCACATCCATTCTCTTCCTTGATCCAGCTCAGGTACCTGCTGTCCTGGGAAAGAAGCGACTGGCCATGTCTTTCCCCACTGGACATTGAGCCATGCTGAGGTTGATGGCGAGCACACAGCAGCCCCTTTGATGGGCGTGGGGACAGGGTGACACGGGACACTTCCTGAGCTGAATGGCGCCCCGACACTCGACACCTGGGACAGAGGCGCTCCAACGCTGGCCTAGTGCCAACCTCAACGAGGCACCTTTGTGTTCCTGGGCTCAGTAACCTATCCGGAAAGATCTCTCAGTGCTGGTTCCCATGCATCACTCCACTCTACTTCACACTGCCTTTGTGCCCAACTGGCTCGGGACTCTCCTCACTTCCTTTCGCCTTGATCCTGACTGTAATTGCTTGGTCCCAGTGAAAAGCAAGTATGAATTTGAAAGGAGGGGTCTAACCTTTGCTTTGCAGTAGCCTTGTGGATCGGGCCACTGAATGCAGTTACTTGTACATGTAAAACTGTTTTCCGGGATTAATTTGAAGGCATTGTTCAAACATGAGCTATCTGGTGTCCTACTGTCTTTACTGTTGCTCTTTATATCTTCCTCACAAAGAGCTACAAAGTGCTATTCTCCCACAAAAAGCAAGCACAAGGACCTCTTGTTGAGACAGCCCGCTATTGATCTTGAAGCAGGACATTGACCACAACTAGAAAATATTCAAATTTTGCAAGAAATGATAACCGCAGTGAACCAAGCATATAAAAACAGGGGTGTCAGGCCTGTCGAGATGTGAAATGCCTAACCACAACAAGGCATACGATGGATAACATGTGTGCAAGAGACTAGGTTTGCTCGTTTTGAGGTGCTGCCTCCAAGCCCTGGGCGGTTCGGTCCAAACCCACCAACCCGTCTGGCTTGTCAGACACACAAGGCTGTCTCCCCAGGATAGTTTAGTGCATTGTACAAAGTGACAAACCCATCAAAGCAACCCGTCCCAAATAAAAGGTCTTTTTATGACTTTCCTTCAAAGAGTTAGGAGTTCAAAGCACACACAGTGAGCACGAGTCGATGGAAAGTTCAGAATCATATGGAGAGGCAAAGAGATGTGGGGGTAGGCAGAGGGTGGGGGGTGAGGGCCTCAAAGGGGATTCAATATTGCTCATGAAAGGCCTCCCCGACCTGGCATACTCTCTGTTCTCCTAGGCAGTAAATCTTCGACATTAGGTTATCATTCTCCTTTACACACCACCTTGCCGCTGTACTAAATATATTTCAATTTCATAAACATATGACGTATTCACAGTATCTTCAACAGCATATGGCATGTCTTTTGAAGGCGAAGAAGTCAGTGGCTGTACAGTTTAGCCTGCTCGGCACAGATAAGAATGCAGTTCGCAGTTGGGAAAAAATTATTTTGCTTCCCGCCCTCAATTTGTGCCTCCCTTTTCAGAAACAGAGAGAGCTCTTTAATTAAAAATGGATGTCACTTGTGGTAAAAATCTTTATTTGTGTGCATACAGTTGTATGCCTAGCAGCAAATGTGTCTCTGATGCTAAGGCATGGTTAAGCCCCAGTTCAATCTAAATTTATTGTGTGATGTGCAATGTAATGTGAGCTTTCAAAAAGTACACAGCTTTGATGCAGAACTGCATCTTGCAATGCATTTTCAATACAGTTTCTGACTAAA